TATAACGCCCCACTAGCTGAAAGGGCGAGCATGTTTGGTGTCCCGGGGATTCGGACCCGCGACCCTCAGATTGCGAGTCGAGCTCCCTAACCACCTGGCCATGCCGGACCCGCTACTAGAGGGATATCTGCACTAGGGTTTCCTAATTTTTAAATGTTAGCAAAAAGGAAGGGGGCAACTAGTCAACACCACTCACCGTCAATTATATAACTACTTTTATCAGGCCGAATAATGAGATCGAACTGCTACTCTTATAACACACCACGGCCACAAAATACACCAGCTTGGAACCTCAACTTAACAATCCGGCATTCTAATTATTGAGCTACATGACATGAATAAATCTGCATTCAGGTGAATACTTCTAACGTCATGTGATTAGATTTTTTTGCATAAACAAATAAACGAAGGGGTAGAAAATTTGTATTTGTCTGTGAGTGGTTCTTAATAACGTAAGCAGCCAACTTAGAGCCTAGGGCTTTTAGTTATCAAAAAAATAAGTAGTTATTATTAAAAGTGTTCGTCTGAAACAACCTCTGAATGATTGCTTGCAATAATTATCCACAGATCGTGCATTTTTTTCCTTCAATTTTTAATCACTGAAAATAAAAAACATATTACCAAAAATATTGAAACATCACACGCTGCAGAAGACTGGCACTTTTTTACTTCGCTGACAATAATTCTAGAAGACTTACCCTTGTATCAATAACTGTCTGGACTATTACTAACATAGTCATATAGCTTTGAAACACTACTGACTGAAGAGACCACCACTATTCTTACAAACCACGAATAATTGTTGTGAGGTTTCGAAGTCCATTCTCTCTGCCTTTCATATGGTGTTCTTAAATGTCTCTATGTGAACCAGTTAGATTCAAATCAGGTTTCTGGATTGTCCAAGGGTAATTTTGGGCATAATGTTCCTCAGGGCTTGACATGTGGTGTATAGCATAGTGCATTATTACTAGCTGAGGATTTAGTATTCTGACACCTTTGGTAGTGTAGTATAACTTTTTGCTAAGAGTTAATTATCTTATATTAGAATTAAGGAAGATACAGAAAATTACTTAAGTGTTCAAACACCTTTTGAAAACATTCATTATACAATGATACCAGCTGTTAAAGTGAGGAATTATTAACAAAGAAACTTCAAATACAAGAAACTGCTACTCTCCTATTGAACTTCCACAAATAATAATTAATGATTATGATAATCATAGAAGAAACTTTGATGTCTGTATGTAGGTTATCCACATCATTTGAAGCTCAGTTGTACAAATATCGCAGTGAACAATATTGAAAAACATTTAATTTGCAGCATAGGATCAAAAAGAAGCCTAACTACTGTACGATTTTTTGGTTCGATAATATGCATATTCTTCGCCCAGATTTTTCACTTATAAAATACTTTCAAGTATTTGAAAATTATACTGTTGTAAACTATAACCTACAAAAGTTACTGATCTCCTTTATTTTGCCTCAACGTTTTTTACAACAATATATTCTTAACAAAACAAGATTTCATTGACATATTTTCTGCTGAAAGATATATTAAGAATCGCGAAATTGGGTTAGCTAAGTTATGAAAAGCTAGAAAAGGAAAGTATCAGAAGTCACGAAAAAAAAAAAGAGGAAAGAAAACATCACCACCTACCTGCATCAAGAGAAGTTACTGGAAATTTAAATATGTTAGTAACTTTTAATGAAAGAGTACTTACAAAGCATTAAGGTGGTGTCCTAGTGGCTGGAAGCAGGGATTTGTTTGTAATTAAGCACAAAGCTACACAATGGGGTATCTGCGCTCTGTCCACCACAGGTATCGAAACCCGGATTCTAGCGTTGTATGTCCGCATACATACCGCTGTGCTACTGGGGGGCAGGAAGCAAGGAATTGTCTAGGTTTTGTATTTAATTAGCTAAATGATTTCAGCTCACCTACAGCCCACACTACATTTGTCGGACAAATTTATGAATGCGTTAGCGATAGAGGCAGACGAGGAATTGTGAAATTTTGTTTGAATTTATATTCAAGTAAAAAAGCAAAAATATATGATATAAGTACAAAACATAATACGTAAATATGGTAGCTAAGCTAGAAAATAAGCAAAAACAAAATACGCCAAACTGGTGATATGACAGTGAAATGTTAAGTTAGGTTTTGGACTGTCTAACTGGGCCAAGTGTTAGATATACATATATTCTTAAACCATGCTTTAAAAAAAAAGTCCAAGTTAGACAGTCGAAGACATTACGTAGAATTTAAAGTTTAACGTATTTTCACTCTTGCTTATTTTACAGCCTGGTAACTTTTTTCACATATCATGTCTTCTACTGATATATCCATATTAAGCACAGTAAGTACAGAGTATATTAATAAAATGATATGTAAATTAACACAAACAAAGAGATTTAGGCACGATTACTTAACATAATGAATGTCCAGATTAACATGAAATATAATGAGTGTGTTCAGAAATAAATTAATATACTGAGTATATGGATGAATACTACAAATAATGAACATGCGCATGGATAGAATAAAATGTGAATATATATACGAGGATAGAACATACAAGTAACATAAACAAAAGTACAAAAGCAAGAAAACAATGTGCTATTTTTATTCAAGGGATAAATGATCTATAATGGTACGTTAAGTGTTGGTCATTAGTAGTTATTTCTAACATTTACTTCAGTATCTTAATACATGTACTTACGTATTTCTCTATATTCTATCGGGACTAAACCTGGAGGGTTTGCATGACAGTCGTTCTTCTCTTTGCTTCGTATATCTTTGAAATTTTGGTTTCCTTTAGTCCCATTACTCTTGTGTCTAGTGCCATCTATTGCATTACAGTTTCGTTGATCTTCAACTTTTACATCTTTACTTACACTGCATCCCATTGCCACCTCCTAAAATACAAAGGAATAATAATAACATGAAAGTTTATAAAATGCGTTTTACATGACATTAATGTCTTCAAGTACAGGAAACAGTGGGGAATATAGACAATGTAATTTTGAAAAATATACATGCACACACACACACACACACACATATATATATATGTAAATTTAACGTTTTCGTTGAAAACTAAAATTCATATTAAATACGAAGTGTCGAGAATGTGACATATTTTATTTTAATTACCTTCTGAACTAGAGCGGTTTTTGCTTATGTGACCTGCTATCTACTTGGTACAGAGAGAGACTGTCTTCTACCTTGGCTGATGCTGTGCAAAATAATGTGGTTTTGATCAGTCAAACCCACACACGTCAGAGTCACGCGCGATCATACACGAGATTGAGTGCACACGCATGGTCCTGCATAACAAAACAAAGTTATTAAAGAAGAGATCGAGAATAAAGTAAAATGATATACCTTAAGTAATACAATATTAATATACAATCTTAAGTAATTAACAAAAAAAGAATGAATGAGCCACAGTATTGTTCTTGCTTAATTGGTTATCAATTAATGTAAAGATAGGATGACGTGTTGAATAATTCCATATAATACTGTTCTTGTGAAATAATGTATTTACAAAGATTTTGGTTATATTCTTAGCTTTATTGATTTAGTTTATCGACATCAAGACACACTTTAGTGTATCAGTGTGTCTTGCGGCCAAAAAATCAACCTGCAGGACACACCGTGTATTATTAAAAGGGGAGATAGTTTAGCGATTTTCCACCTTCTGTAGCTCGGACTGTGGTAATCCAAACAATTACATAGTTTCAGTGGATGTGCACTACGAGGCTTTTACTTCACATACCAAATTTCAAGGCAATCCATTAAAAAATAACTGTGATATAAAATCTCATATTTTTCGTTCTTCGCACCAAAACTACAGAAACTTTATTTAATAGAAAAAACATACTTAACTTTTATGGATTTTTTTTTCAAATTTAGTACACTGACAGATCTTTACAACCTACAATTAGGAGTCTCATTTGGTATAAATATAAGTCACATGTGCAAAGTTATTAAAACAAAACCGCTCAAATTTAACGAAAATATTTGAGCACGCCTACGCAAAAAGTCACGTGAGCTATCGGTTAACATTTTTACTACGGCTTTACCTGAAAGTAAAAGTGGGTCGTTTTTAGTTTTTTGTCATTCGGATTAAAGAAGACTGATTTAGAGCAGCAAAACTATAAGGTGAAAGGATGTGCAGATACATAAGTATTGGTTAGGCCAAGAAAACTAAATTAGTAGTTTCTAGCTCAAGTTTTCAAAAGAATCATACGGGTGGACGGTTATTATTGATTATTCATTGCCAACTTTTGAGCACAAGTTTACTAAATTTTATGGAGTTATCCTATTTAAAGAGAGTTTAGCGTCATGTGATATTAGATTAAGCAATTAGCCTAAATAATGATGCTTGATACGGCTGTACCGATTGCATGGGGGTGATGACTAGAAACTGTTAATCTAAAGTCCATGGTGTTAGTATAAAGGAAGCTATTAACACTGTTTTAGAGAGGAAAACCATATATTTTAAAGAATATTTTGGTTTTTTAAAGTATATGTCCGTTCCGAATAATAGGGTTGCAATCCTAAAGCTAATATGGGACACTATTGAGTTTCACTTTCTTACTTGCTGTGGTTTTTTGGTGTGTACTGACAAAGCATCATGATATCTAATCAAAAACACGTTAGGTGTGAAAAAAGGTGCGGCCAAAACAGGATTCAGCGTGCGACTTAAAGGAATGAAATCAGTCCTTTTATGGATGCACTTTTTTTTCACACCAAAGGTGTTTTTGATTAGATAACCGTATACACGATAGATTGTGCAGCTACTGAAGTACTTCGAAAAATTAAATAATTGTTTCTCATTTTAATTTATTTGTTCTATAGAACTGATTCCCCCCTAACGTAAATCATCTATTTTATTGACAATGTTTAAAAACTTTTAGTCGCTCTTTGTTTATACTTCTTACACAATTTCTAATACATATCATTTTCCTTGAAAGAATAATATATATATATATATATATATACGAGTCAAGTGCCCAACTTTTTCCAGTTTCTTTTTGGTTATGATATACCACAAACTAGCCAAAAGGTTAGTTTGTTTGTTTGTTTTTGAATTTCGCGCAAAGCTACACGAGGGCTATCTGTGCTATCCGTCTCCAATTTAGCAGTATAAGACTAGAGGGAAGGCAGCTAGTCATCACCACCCACCGCCAATTCTTGGGCTACTCTTTTACCAACGAATAGTGGGATTGACCGCAACATTATAACGCCCCCACGGTTGAAAGGGCGAGCATGTTTGTTGTGACGGGGATTCGAACCCGCGACCCTCAGATTACGACTTGAGCGCCCTAACCACCTGGCCATGCCGAGCCCTAGCGAGAAGAACTGACCGAAACCTTGTCAGAACTGGTTCTTAACACAGATAAAGTTTAGAATCAAAGTAAAAATACTGATTTTTTCTAAAGGGCGTTTTAGAGAGCAATTAAATTTATGGCTGGTACGTATCCATGTAGTAAATGGAACTTTTAAAACTCTATAGAAAATGTCGTGTAAGTAACTGTTATTTAAAAGAATGGAAATTCGGTTGATGAAACCAAATCGATATTTTCAGTGATTTAATGTTAACTGACGCGTTAAATTTGATAAATCTAGTCAACATTTATTATCATGCTGCGTGAAAATAAAGAATGCTTACAAAATTATTACATGAAGCAATTTGCTCGGATAATTTATTTAAGTTAAAATATGTGAACCATGAGCAAGGGGTAATGCCAATTAAACAGAACTGCTGATCTGGCTTATAATTAACATAATAATTATTCGAAATACAGGACTAATTGTGCACACTTGGAGTTATGTTTTCTATCACACCTTCTTTCCCCGAATGTAATGAAATTTCTGTATGTATAAGAAAAACGATGGATTATTTATGCACTGCAGTATATATGCTAACATATAATGAAATATTGTTACAGATACATGGAAAAACATAACTCATAAACAATATATTATTCTTATATATATATATATATATGAAAATATCATCACTGCTGTATTTTTGTGTTATGATATAGTCAATGCTATGATATATTGTCAATGATATAGTCATGTTCTATTTATATGTTCAAGATAACAGTCTTAAAATATTTTGTTCTTTATCACAACTTGTAGTGTGTACTGGAGGAATTTAGACATTTTGATAATAAAGTTAGAATATAAAACGATTTTTACTTTCTAAATAATAATAATAAATTCTATTTCGGACATCATTTCGCCATTGAAGCTTCATCAGGGCTAATAGTACAATAAATTCTTGAGGTGAAAATATACGATAACGTTTTACGAAACGCGACCAATAAAACATCAAAAGCAGTTTAAGAAGTTAACTTGTAATTTTCACATCAAACAGTTCAGGTACTACTAACCTTGATGAAACCGCAATGGCGAAACGTTAGCTGAAATAAAAGGTCTATTATTGTTATTATCTGGAGAGTAAAGGCCGTTTTTTTTTCTGACATTATGTCAAAACAATACAATACTATTGTTGCCTATTAAATTGTCAAAGATATCGTTATGTAAGAAATTCTATGAAACTCGGCATCGCTTGGTAGCAGAGTTGGAAACTGGTTTTGTGACGCCATGAAATCAATGTTATGATTCTGAAAAACAAACTATTGTTACGTCAATTTTAGTATTACTTGTTCTGATGACATTTGACCTCAATTATAATATCCACCGAAATAGAAGTGAACACTAATCTTTTTTAATTTAAAGGAAGAAAAATGTTTCCACAAGCTTGCGTATTATAGTCCTCACATCGTTGTTTTCCACATACGAGTTGATTTGGCTTTTAGTTAGAAAGGTCTGTTTGTTTGTAATTAAGCACAATTTTGTAATTTGTTTTACGTATTCTGGTAAAATTTTAAGTATTTGGACTCATTTTTGTGATTTCCTATGTTTCAGTCAGGTTTATACAAAATTAACAAATTATTACAAAATAACCGTTTCATTCCACAAGTGTTCCATTAAAAAAATGATGTATTGTAAAAATTCAGTTATGTTTACACTTTTTTAATAGTAAATTATATCCACGAAATTTGATTAACTTTGCTAAAAGAACTCTTATAAAGAACAGACAAGAAAATGAAGTACACACGTTCAAAAACAAAAATATAAAAAAATTAAGAAAAAATCATGATGTTCATCCGGGTTTTTATGGTCCGCGACAAAAAGATCCACGCACTTTGGGGCTGTGCGCGCGCTATAATCATGATGTTAGGAAAACACATAGGTTCAAGAAATCAATTTAACTTCAAAATACTATACCATATAATCCGAGAGCATTTGAAAGGTAGATTTTTCTTCTTCAGGGGCAAACTAGGTGCACTATAAGAGTTACAGTAAAATCAGTCTATTTGATCAGAAAAAGTAGTACAAGAGTTGGCAGTGGGTGCTGTTGACTAGCTGTCTTTCTTCTAGTATATCAGTTGAAAATTAGGAACGGGTATACCCAGATAGCCTTTGTATAGCTTTGTGCAAAATACTGAAACAAAACAAAAGAAACTCTCTGATACGCCGAAGAGCTATACAGACGAATTCATCTCACATTTTGGACTTGCAGAGATTTTTCTAAATTTCAAGAAAGAGGATGCACTTAGAAATTCATTATAATGATAATATTTTTACAATTTTCCCAAATTACGCAATCCCTTAAAATAGTGTTGGTTAATTGAAATATAGCTTTTATATTCAAAAATCAAATTTTCACGAAAAATGATTATTTTACACCTTTGCCATCTAGTGTAGGAAAATAATAACATAAGAATAAATGAAGAATCTTTCACTTCAAAGCATACATAACATAGCATTTTGTCCAGATACTTTAGGATAAAAACACGTTTTATTTGATATCTAATAATGTTGT